CACTCGCCGCGCGATTATGCCGCTCACCGCACGCGACCTCATTCGATGAAATAAACGATTCCTATTAAATAAAAAGTTTTCTCTGAAACCAAACAACGCTAGCTCCAATTTCATCTACATTTAATCACTTTGGAACCTTAAACCCACGATATCCCCATGTTGGACATAACACTGGTCAACGACACCCGAATCAAGCGATACTAGCCATAGGCCTAGGTTCCTGGCATATGTAGATAACCAAACGCCGCTAAGATCGAACGATTGGCAACTAAATCAGACTCATCACTCATCCAAGTGCTACCCTGAGCTCCATACAATCCAAATTCAAGGCTGAACACCTCCATGTGACTTGGTATTTACTTAGTATGACGTGGGATACCCCAGAAAACGATGCAAAATGTCTCCAATCCACAAGTGGGCGTTGGCGGTCGGTTACACCGCAAGTGCAGTCTGAACTAATTATTATTGTTTTTTTCCTCATATGGATCGAAATTCCTCTAACATCAATCACGCCACACCAAATTTTCGGCTACCGTATTCACCTAATTCGATTAACGTTCTTTTCAAGACCGATAGAAGTTTTCGTCGTTTCCGTCAGCTCGAAATGTTTTCAACTAGGAACATTGTACTAGTGGATGACTTAACAGCGATTTTGTTCAACTATCATTGTAATTTGAAATATTTTTATCCGACAAACTACCGAAAAGATCTATACCTACCAAGAAACGACGTCGATTCATCCTTTGAACGGCCTTCCGTGTTTTTTTGGAGCGTTTTTAATGCTTTGACCCGTATTTCTCTTCAATGTTCCGTCTTGAGGACTTCGATCGATTCTCCGACCGATCACTCGCTCGACTCTTCGGCAGTTCTCTTGACTTTTGTCGGCCCGACTACTGAAAGAACCAAGTAAATCTTCAAAGCACTTCGAGAACTTCCCTTTTTTGATGTCTCATTCGTTCCATCTAGAACTCCATCCATTTTTTATCGAAACATCATAAATTTGTGGAACTGATCGCTTTTTTCGCCCAAAACTTTCTATTTTTGTCTATAACTTCGAGAAAATCATAGCGATTCCTGCACAGTAACTCTGCGTTCTTAGCTGATTCCCTTTTAGTATAGTCGTCTTATGGTGACTATAAATACGTAGAAATCTATTAGTCTACCGTAATCAATATAATATATATAAGCGATATTGTAATGTAGTTTGAGCTTAACTGTCAAAGAATAGCCTCCCAAACATGCAAAAAAGTGGGGGGCTGAACAAAGCTCTGGCACATGTCCTGGGTGCAATCAATCACCAGCTGATGTCATGTGACGGTCAGACGACGTCATGGGACCCTAGCCTCAGCCTGAGGTTACTGTAATCCCCGTGCAAATTCCTACATCGTCTGGTTCGTCTGGTTGTCTACGTCTCTGTCTCTCTCAACTTGCGAGTCTTGCAAAGAAGAGAAAAAACGATGACAACAACCTCCTACGACGTGTACTAGTACACGTGGCAGGAACAGCGGTTGGGACGAGTGGATCGCTGAAAACTCGCCCTAATTGCAGCGCCCATTACTGTCATTATTTCCCACTGCTTGAAGGAGGCGATATTCCTGAACAAGCTCCCAACCCCACTATGGGGTTGTGTTCATGCCGACCGACTAGAAAAGGTAAATGTTTCATATCGTGCTTTAGTATATAACTAACACCTTGAAAGGCTACTCTGTACATAAGATATGTATTGATTGATCTCCATGTGATCGAAAAGACAGTCGTAAGAACAAAGCAGTATAGGAGTGGGTAAAATTATTATGGGGACAGCGAAAGAACGTAATAAACGCTTCATTGGATTGTTTGAAATTTCGCTTTCGAAGTTAGCGTCAGAGGGAGGAGTTGGCATGATGGTGGACGAGTTTGCATGACATGCTTTCAAGGGATCGAGATCATTTGCAATTCAAAAAAATAAATAAGCTCCGTATTTGCATTTCTCGAAATTTGAGCTTCTGTTCAGCATGATTGACTCAAAATACCTCAATTTACTATCCGCTACAATACCTTAGACAGTCTTAGTCTAAAATGCCAACACATTTGAGCCTTATTGCAGATGTTGTTTTTATATTTATTTTATTTCATGTATTTTATCGATTTCCACAATTTCCGCATTTGACACCTGAATTTCGATTGTTTGAAGGATAAGGGAATGGATGGTAAGCGCGAAAAAACCCACAACATGTCTATTGTTAGGGACCCAACAATAGTCATGTTTCGTGTGCTGGGGAGCCAAAAATTCCGAGCATTCCCACGAGACGTTGGTTTTTTTCGTCGACAACTGATCCCCGCCGGCTGCCGCGTGATGTACTTTGCGCAGCGGAAATTTTGCAAAACTCCATCTGCAAAAACTGGAAGCATCCCGTCGATGTACAGAGTGGATACGTGGCAACCAGTGTCGCGGAAGTGCCACCCACGTATGACCTTCCACATGGAAGGGATCCTGGCTGAAAAAGTCCTGAACACTGCTTAGAACATCGATCCTGGTTTTCGGTGTATAAGGGTAAAGTCAGAAAGCATTATGTGAGACCCCAGTTCCGGTACGGCCAGCTCGACTGAGTGAGGTTACACACAGTAAAGCTGTCTAACTCCATGACCCACTATGGAAATTTTCTTTTTGAACAGTTCTTTTGAAAACCCTTACTGGCCCATTCAATACGTATGGGTCGTACCAACTACGGTAGAACCGGTGGACATAAACTGGCGCACACTTTTGCACCCAAACCGCTACATAACAGGCCACGTGTAGCTTTTTTGTAGTGATAAGACGCTCTGACGCATGCCCAATGTTTGGCCAGTGTTCCTTCCCGATCACTCGCTTTGTTATTATCTTACACAGCCCATGGGCTGTGTACAGGTAGTCTGTAAAGAAGCTATAATGGCTACAGTTGCTTTGTAAAATTGTTTTCGGAAAGAGCAGAGTTGAATCAATCGTGGGAGCTGTTCAAAACAAATTATCGGCGGCGGATATCCCAAATTCAATGGGAACTTTTTGTTGAGGTCGATAGCTGCTGACGGGGTGAATACAAAGAGAAACAGTGCTGCAAACTACCTTGTACAGACTGCCGAAATAACATCAAAGTTATGAAAATCGGATAAATTAAAGCCCATTTCCTCTCATTTTGGACCATTGCTATGAACCCATATATTTATTTATCTGTGTTTACCCCCTCCAAATATTGACCGCCTTCAAGCGAACTGTGCAGAAACACGCGTCTAAGGTGAAGTCCTCAATTAGTTTAGCATTCTTGTATGTTCACCCATAGGTTGAAAGTTCTTGGTAATCCTGTAAGAGCACGCAAGGGAACTATACAGATGACAGCGCACTCCAATCGCTTAGTGTTTCTTCCGCCCCAACTAACAAAATATGAAAAGTTGCTACAATTTTGCGACGCGACCAATAAACAGAAAGGACAAACAGTTAGGGAAGATTGATAAATTTGGTTAAATCTATAATCTTATAAGTAGTACTGATCGATAATATTGGCCAACGAGAATGGGTGTATGACGCTATAGTGCTTTTTTTTCGAAGACAAACATAAAGTAAGCCTCTGAACCTCACTAATACATTCCTCTTTTTAGGTTAATTATTTTTATAATCTAGACGAAATCAGAAATAAACAACTATATTTATGCATCTATTTAGTCAATATCGATAGATAGACAAGAAGTGAATTCACAAAAATCCCATCCGTTGCATATGTCATTCTTCTTCTCTTACCTTAGCTTTTGCCTCCTGATCTCTTCACCGTTCTGCCACACATAAATTTTACTCTCTTTCCTCTTTCTTCATTTCTCCTTGTTACGATCAAAGATACAGAAAGTAGAAAAGCAGATAGTGACTACCTCATTCTCTCTCATACTCCTCTTTCTTATCTGAAAAACAGCACTGAAGCAATTAACGCCTGAGACAGCTGTCGTCTATCTACTTCTCAACTCTGCCATACGACCTTAGTGTGGGACCATTTTGAGGAATTTTGTACCACATGCGTCACTTTTAGAGCCGGCAAACTTCCCCACAGCATTACCATCGTCTCTGGTCACACAAAGCGCTCCAAACACACCGATAACACATCGAATGGCGAGACACGACGCAAACGGAAATTCAGGTATTTTCTACGTGGTCGGTTATCAGTCAGACAACATGAAGTGATGTCAGATTGTCTTATTCATCCGCAAGGCGAAATACTCAACCAGCATAAAATACCCTAACCGCTTCATGATTTAATTTGGGTAATAGAGGGTACCCCTGAACGGCATGATCAGACAAATGACAAAAACACAGTACTAAGATATGCTCCAGAAGACTCGAACCCGCAGAATACANNCTTGGAAGGAGGTGTTGAATGAATGAAGCGTCTACAGCCCGGTTTCATGAACAGCTAAAAGTTAGTGCTGGCATTAATCTACAGATGTCATAAAAAGAGATAATGGCGTAGAAATAATCTATTTAAATTTTTAAAAGTACTCGATTAGGTCAATTACGAAAATCTGCTTCAAACCACGCTAACTTGGGGTCCTCGGGCCCATCTTTAACTGGACCAGCTGTTACTTTGGCGGAAGGAATGTGTGAGTTTCGGAGCAATACTTATGTACCAGCGCCCCACAAAGATTTTTGTCTCCCTTATGATTTTTAGTTTAATCTATGAATTGCCGATTTGTCTTGCAGCGCATCCTGCAGTTAAAGTTTAAAGTATGTACGATATAGCATTTGCATCAAGCTCTAATTCAGTTCATCGGCAAGATGATGAAGTGGACTGCAGCGTGAGACATACTTCACAATCCCGAGAAGACATTGGTACTTCATTTTGAAAAAGTTGGGGAAGTTCCGTATGTCTTCGATGACATTGCCTTGAAATTCTGTGATGGAATTATTGAAATCGGGTGTTGCGGGAATTGAGAGCGGATCAAAGATCAAAAAAAATCACTTGTTCCTAAACATTCTCGAGACTGACATCATTCTGCACCACATGAAGTTACCAATTTCAGAAGCATCGCGTCTACAAAATGTTGTCGCACCACCGGGAAAACCGCTCAATAACAATTATTATAGGGCTGGATTTGGTAAGTGCATTTTGGTTTAGATATCGACTTCATTGATTTTTTTACTATTCAAACTTTATTTGATTCCACTATTCAGGTACTCTGTATGAGGGAATTTTCTCATGTTTCCGTCCCGTCTGGGGCTATTTTGGACGAAGCAATAATGACTTGTAAGTTGTGTTAGCAATGGAACGCACTGAATTAATACCTTGCTGTCTAACGACACCACATTCCAGGGTCAAATCCATAGAAGACGATTGGGAGATTCCGTTCGAAGCGATTACGGGTCTGGAATGGCTTGGCGCCGGATCTCAGGGTGCAGTTTTTAGGTGAGTTCAACAAACACTTTTGATCGAATGCAAAAGAGAGCAGAGTTAGGTATGACTGCCGACAACTCGCCCGAAACGGGGTGTGCCTACCCACACTCTTCATCTATTTTTTTTACTAAAGACAGCTCACCATCTAGAAAGACATCCATACTTTCCCCCAAAAATCTGGTTAGTGGAGCATTATTCAAAACCAGTCCTCGCCCACCATCAAATTCTTAGCTCTCTCAAATCCTCATCAAAAAAGACCACCCATAGGAAGTGCTTTAACTCTTCAATCTTCAGCGAGAGATCGGCGCTTCTCTGATTGCAACATATTGACAGAAAAAAATAGAAAATTAATAAATTTGGATGGCGTCGCTAACATTTTAACAGTTGCACATTTTCAGGGGATGTCTCAACGGTCAAACGGTAGCGGTGAAAAAAGTAAAACTAAAAGAGGAAACTGATATCAAACATCTACGGCACTTAAATCATCCAAATATCATAAAATTTATGTGAGTTCAACAATTTACCCTTGATGGCTTCGAAAGCTGATCAGTTCCCCATTTGCCAATGACGTTATCTTTTTTAGTGGTGTGTGCACTCAAGCTCCGTGCTATTGTCTAGTTATGGAATACTGTCCCAACGGTCAATTAGGTGATATATTGAAGTCGGACAGAGTAATAGGTAAGCCACAGAATGATTCAAAAATTTCATCATTCCGGGATTCAAAAAATCATTTCGGGATTCAAAAATTGTTCAAGAAATTTGTGAATTATTTCAATATTTTTTAAATGTGTATCTCTATGCCTTCTGCTATTTTACTACCGATACCTTGTAGAAAAATATTATTGTATTAATATACAATAATAACAATAAGTTTAATAATTGAAACTTTTTTTGAACCTACATATTCACCTCTAAATCATCTTCGTATGATCAAAACCATAGATCCTCACTGGTAAAAAAAGTTTCAAAACATTTTTATCGCAAAAAAATACCAGTACAAAAGTTCATCGAAGGATTTTTAGGATGGCAAGAATGGTGCTCGTGGAGCCGACAAATCGCTGAAGGAATGGAATACCTACATAAAAACAAAGTGATCCATCGGGATTTGAAAAGTCCAAAGTAAGTGTGTCAAAAGGTTCGGCATCATCGATGAACCACGGTCGTCAGCCGATATTATTTCAGGATTCTTTTGACAATGATTGTAACCTTTTTTGGAAGTAACTCTAGATTCTATATATGCTAGTAAAAAAAACGAACTTTTGGTGCAAAAGCTGAATTTGTGCGGTTTACTTTTGAGGGTGTTAAAAAAACTTCCAAAAAATATCCAATTTTCGTACAGTATCCTGTTCGACGAGGAGGGTGTGGTGAAGATCTGCGATTTTGGTACGTCACATCAGCAAAAGAAACAAAACAGCACCGTGATGTCGTTCTGTGGTACAGTCAGTTGGATGGCACCAGAAGTCATGAAGAAACAACCATGTTGTGAGAAGGTAAGGATTTGTAGCCCTCAGCAATGAATCGGCCTCACAAACACGTCCTCGTCCATAAGGACCGTCCACACAGAATCCATCTTTATAAAAATTTCACTTCGCCGAGCCCTTACAAGGCTCTTCCATGTCATGCCCAAATGCTTTTCGCCCTACGATGGAAGGTGAAGCTCCGCCCGTTTTGTAAAGTCCAACCCAACTTTTCTGAATGTTTTGCTGAACACGACGTTACTAGCATTTTGAAGCCCTGGTTGAATCGTCCCAAACAGCTTGAAGTTTTTCATACCGCTCCTCTACATTTTCAGAAGGATCCATACCCTCTAAAAGGCTCTTTTCACAAAGCATGGGTATCTCCAGCATTATTGCAATTTTTGTGGCTAAATGCAGATCACAATGTGAAGTAAACGTTCACCTTCTATATGTACTACGTCTCTTACCCTATTCACAAGGTGCATCGCGAAAACTCGTTCAAAATTTGCTCCTTCAATCCCATTTTAGGTAGATGTCTATTCGTATGGCGTTGTACTTTGGGAATTGGTTACGCGAGAACAGCCTTACAAGAACATCAATCAAATGGCAATTATTTACGGAGTTGGCTCGAAGTGAGTTTATGTCAGAAAGAGTATGTGAGTTCAAGTAGAGCGGAGGACTGTGAACGCAGATGTCGTCCTGACAATAGGGGTACAGACAACTAGAGATTAGTGATTGAACGGCGGGTTCGGAACTTCGAGCATCCCTTACTCCAGCTAACACATTGTGGCATGGACATACTCGAATTTGGCACTGGACCCGGTGATTCGATCTTGGTTCACGGTGCGCAGGTGGTATATTTCGACCGAATTTGATGGGAGTGTCGTAAGGTTCGGTCTGGGCCAAAACAAACAAGCCGGTGGTTGATGAGCGTGATCTTCTCCAGAACTACCCGTCACAATTAATAATAAGAGCTTAAGTACTGCTTAATGCTCAGCGGCGAAAGGGTCACTTGTCGACTGTATCATCTGTTAAAAGTTACTTCCTTGTCTAGAAATCGAAAAGATGGCACATCCACTTCTCAGTTCTGCGTTTTTGATGAGATATATTCAATTTGTTGTTAAAATGGCTCACTAACCTGCATACTTCAGCAATCTCTCGCTGCCGATCCCAGATTCCGCTCCCGATGGCCTGAAGATGCTGATGCGACAGTGCTGGAGTACGACGCCTCGTAATCGACCGTCGTTTACCCAATGCCTGAAGTACATGGACATTCTGTATGCAGAATTCAAAGAAATGGGAGATGAGGTGAGAATCCAACGATCGAAATCCGGCTGTTCCTAGTTCCTAGGAAAGCGATACACAAACGGGACAGTTCTTACAAAAAGCTCATTTTGCCGTGAATCGGTTTGTCTTACAAATGTGTCACCTGGAGAGTGAGGAAAATCGTGCTGGCCTAATGGAGTATCCCCGAATGCGTTGTTGACGTGATCGGGATTTGATCATCAAGAGTGCAAATTCCATTTTTTCCAGGAGTTTTTCCGACGTAGTGCTAAATGGCGTGCCGACGCGGCAAACATACAGTATCCGGAAACCCTCACCAAAGGAAATGCCAACAATTTTGCTGAACGAGAGGACGGTAAGCAAACCAGTTCCATCCAATACAGTTCAACTTCGAAAACGGTCACACTCGAAAACTGTGATGGTTTCTACGAAAGCAATTAAAAGTGTTTAAGGGATCGATGAGGGCTGGTCACTATCTCTTTGAAGCAGATTAGGTTTAGGGTTCGATATATTACCCATCATACAGTCGTGACGGCGCTACCCCTCGAATATCCACTGAACCATCTTCCCATCTAGGTGTATATATCGGGTAGGCATGCCTAATTCAATGTGTGCATGCTTGTGGCAAAATCTATGAAGATCTGTCCGAAGGTCGGAGGGCTATGTCAGAGTGAATGCAATTGCAGAAGCTGGGGTTTAAGATTCGTCTGATACGGAGGCGAAACGAATCACTTACATTTAATAAATAAACAAATACTCACAAGACTTTTTAATTTTTCTTTTTTATTTAAGAGAAACGAAAGGTGAAAATGTAGTTGGGGGGTGCCAGGCACTTTTGTGCTCTTCATTTCTTACCCCATCTAATCATCTCACCCATTCAGCAGCTCCTCCCCTTCTAAAAGTTAGGGAAGGAGCTCCGGGGTGGGTGAACCAATTGNAGGGGAGGAATCCATCTCTGCGATCTCCATGCACTCTGCCGCCGGTGTCAGAGACGCAGAGCGCAAAAGGGCGCTGGCACCCCCAACTACATTTTCACCAAACGAAAAATTAATGGAATCGAAGGAAACCATACTGAAGTACAATACTATGTAGTTCTTTTTGAGAAAAGGCCGAAATCAGCTATGATTCGTCCAGTGACTAACTGGAGTCGTGGAATAAAAACTCCAACAGAACTACTGCTAACCTATTGAAATTACCAGTTTTCAAAATTGCTATCCATGATCAGAACTGAGAGCAAAAGGAGTGATGAGTAAAAGAAGAAAAATTGTACAAATGTCTAATCAGAACGAAGAAGAACGCACATCCCCGCTGGGGACAGCCACTGGGAATGAGGCAGCGACTTTTGGAGCTATTTACCGCGCATCATTGACAAGCAGATCAATTCCTGCGATACCAAATCATTCCTTAGTTTGACCCCATCACAGTAATTGGTCCTTAAAATCGTATGGAATTGGAAATGGTAAGTTCTGATGGTATCGTTCCCATGAATGTATCGTTTCCAGTCTTACATGATTGGGTTGGACTGGGTGAGGCAAGCAAGAAAAAGTGGGCCCTCCGACATGATTTCTGAGTTGATGAAGATCGATTTTCTCCTATATCATCTGAATTCCAACCAGGAAGGCTCTCCCATTGGCATAGTCGCATAAGAACTTTGTTATATGAATTGTTTGACTTCAGAGGTTAATCTATGAGTCAGTGACCTCAGATACCCTTATTAGCCTAGTAGAAGCCAGATGCGCCATGCATCTTCAAAACGAGTAGCACTGAAGGTTAGATTCTTCGCAGAAATTCCTTTGACTGCTTGGTTAATAACTTTTAAAAGAAAGGAGGAAAAAACAAAACTACTGGCGATTCTTGTCCCTGAAAAGTGTATCATCGTTTGAGCAGTTGTCGCTAGCACTCTAACGGTGAAATAGGACTGATTAGATCTTTTAACTTTCACTTCTGAATCGTGTGCTTTTTTAGTTCATCATGGGACTTTATTGAAAGGTAAATCTTACAACCAGCTGAGCTCTATGTAAAAGAGCTCAATCACAAAGCGACGTAATAACGTTAAATAATTCTTTCCTCATTAGCTTCCTAATCTCGTACTGTTGGGAAACCACGCCCATTTCAGAAAAGGAGCTGATTCGGAAACGCCGCGAAGAACTGAAACATGCCCAGGATATTCGTGAGATGTATGAAAACAAACTAAAACGGACCAACAAGATGTACTCGAAGCTGACGGATTGTATGAATGAGTTGCTGTTGAAGGAAAAGGTAAGCGTTTTATAAATCGTGCGTATCTGCGCAGTGGAGAGACTATAAGATATTTTCGTTTGAATTATTTGAATTATGTGCAAAAGTAAGAGAAAACATTCTGTCACTAATGACCTCCGTAGAATGCTTCTTGTTCGTAGAGAATGCAATAGACGCGCGCGGTCGCGCTGCGCCGTTATCAGTAGTCCGCATTCACTAGTCTCTGGCTTACAATTAGTCTGAACATTTCAGGCTCAACTGAACCTAGTCCATACGACTTTTTTAAACTTAGTTCCTATGGTACATATAATCATTAGCGAACATTTTTGTCTAATTAAATTCATGAGGTTTAATCAATATCGATCAATACACACCCTCTAAGGTTTCTGGAACTAAAATTGTTTTTAGGAGCTAGAACAACGAATACGATTATGGGATGAAACACACCGCTATGCATCGTTCTATCCGAGCACGAGTGGAACACGACCCACGGTTGTCCGAGCTGGACCGCGGACCCTCAGAGGATCAGAACAAGAGTAAGTTTATGAACTTCTTTATGGATCGCACAAATAATATTGGCTGTTGATGAGTAACCTGTGTTCTAAACTTTTACAACAGTGAATAGTGCTCTAAGGAACGTTTCTCTTGCAGCATCTACTGTACAGCCATCGACCCACACAGTTATGGTATGGAAGTGTCATCCAGCGAGGAAGACCTGGTCGACTATCATCGTGGTTCACCTTATCGATGTAGTCAGGCGAGCAGGTAGGTTACACTTGGTCAGGCACGCAGAACAAGTCCTAGTTCTCTGCACTCTATCTCTCCAACTCAAGCGTCACTCTGGGCTTTACTCTCACCTAAGGGTTTTGTCGTGTCTTTATAGGCAAATAGTCTCTTTTACGACTATTTTACCTCCTTCCAGTGGATAAACTTTTGGATAAACTTTTCTTCAGTGAGGCTGAGCTAACTAGGGATCTTTGCAAGAAAGGGACTGCTGTAGTCCTTCAAAAAAGAGCAAGTAGGCGACATCGTTGTAGAAGATGGAGTAGTCAAGACTGTCGTTGTTTACCAATCACTATCCGATGCTAACTCCATCTAAACCTATTTCAGTCATTTCCATATTTAAAGAAATTCACGTTTCAAAAATCCACCCCTTGCCCACAGTGAATGGCTGGGGCACTTCGCGAAGACTAGGGGAGAGAGAAAAGGGTTCACCAGTATCGAAGATGTGAAAGTGGACCAGAGCAGGAATTAAGACGAAGCATGAAATTGGTAGGAAAGCCATGTGAGGATTGGATTAATGACGAAATGACCAAAAAAGGGGGCAACATGACTAACCCCATATTTCGCAATGCCCAAAGGACCTAAAACCGGTTCCTCTCAACCTTATAGAAGCCCCCCCCCCTCCCGTGGAGTACTTCATTACTGCTTGGGAATTACGGTCATCGTTTCTGGTCCCTGGGAACCTCAATATGATATCTATGATATTTGTATTGATAAAAATGTCAAAGTACTAGGCCTACCTGACGTAGAGACGTACCTGGACATTTTAGAACCCTAAGATCTGTAGCGAATGACCCAAAAACAGTTGACCATAGCGCTACAAGGGAAAAAGAAGTAACCATTAGTGGAACTAGTAAGGCAGGCTTGTCAAATAGATCAAGTTAAAAGACCAAGACGCATGAGCGAAAGTGTTGAGTGGCTGAATGAGTCTCTGGGGAAGCTCCGCCCAGTGATGACTAGGATTCATGGCCTCCCAGGTCGGAGTCCACGTGGGTAGGGGTGTTGAAATCGGTCAAAATGACTAGTCATCGGCTACGCTGCCGATGTTCCGAGTTTCGAAAGAAAGAGGAAAAATAAAGGCCCACTTCGGTAAAACTCTGGTCTCTTGTTCTCTGCCCTAGAATTTCCTTGAAGAATCGCCCTCTCCACTTAAGGCCATACAGCTATCATTTCAGCTCTTCCGGTTTCCCGTCTTCCGTATCGGCAACGTTTTCACGCCAATCCTCCTCACGAAGCTCTACCGGTCTGCCGCGACGTCGCGATACCACCCTACGTGAGTCGCCGGTTCGCGGGCATCATAGCCGTAAGTACCCCACCGTAATTTCTCATGTGCCAGTCAGTTTTCCAATCAGGACCTTTACAGCCTTCTCGCGTAGCCCATTTATGCGCCATTCCTCGTCCTCACAATACTGTTCTGATTTGGTACGGAACTCACCGGCACGGACCAGCGGCATGTCCGAGGATAGCGGTGTACAAATGTGGGCAGAGCCAGCAGTTCTACCTGGTGGACAGCAGGTGGGTTAACGCAGTACTTACAGAATCTGACCAGGACTCTCTTATGCCTGTTTCAGGTTGTCTATTCCCAGACGTTGTTCCGAAACGCGGATGGGCGTTGGTCAGACGGTCGAATAGTTCAGCGACGAAAACCAAAACGTTCGACAACGTTCCAACGGGACAGCCCTGCTCGAATACCACAAAGTGAGTGGATTTCGAGCTGAACGAGTGATCACTTCGATCAGTGATCGATCGTATCCCAAGAAACCCGGAAATTTAGAAAAATTTTTAATAAATGAGAGAATATCCTTTTTCTATTCGATAACTCTGTTGTGCTCAGATCGTGGAAAAGCTCAACGAGCATCGTATCCATCACCAATGCACCTTGACTTGGATATGTGCTGTGACTGTAACAATGAGAATTGTTGCCGTCGACAACGGTAGGTATCAGTCTTATGATGTGATCGGGAAGATCGATAATCGATTGTTTTGCAGAGCTCGTTCGATGATCCAGGAAAGAGCTGCGCAATCACCTGTTCCCTACGACGATCCGACTGAGCTTAACGTTTCAAACCTTCCTCAGTCATCGTCCTACCAAGAAGCTCTTCGTGCTGCTGGCAATGTTTCCGAAATGACGCCAACAGCATCTGAGCATCGCCTCGCTACCGTGGTGGAGCCAAATCCTCCACCACGGGTTCCCAGGTGAGATTTCTTAGAAAAGCAACATCCGACAGGTTACAACTAATCTTGAATGAGAAAAGCGGTGGTCAGTTTCTCTTTCAGCTTCGGGAGTTCCATCTATCACCCTCCAGCCGCCTACGTAAACCCTCTTTCGCCATCCGAGCCACGAGTCAGCCCAACACCGCCAGTCCGCAAGTTGTCTGCTCAACCGATGAGCATTGACGAGAACGACGGCGAATTGTTCTCATCCCTTGACTCGAACAATCCAAGACCGAATGCTCAAACGCAATCCGATGCATCGGCCGAGAACAGCACCGATGACGAGAAAGACGTGGAGAACGGGTGAGATGCTCGACTTCTGGTATATGACTTGTGGGTTAAATACTTCAAATACATCAAATTCGTTCTAGAAATGTACTCGATTCGTCACTCGACTCACAGAATGCGTTCAGCGCTCTGACCAAAACAAGCAGTGAGGATGACAGCGCTGAAAGAAGGTGAGTCTTATATCTGGAACAGAACAGACCCATTCGCCCTTCACGAAAGTGTCTTCGACAGCAATGGCTTCTCGTACACGTGGACACCTCCTCAGTGCTGCTGTGCCTTTGAAAACAAATATTTGATCGCTGAAGTTTTTAGAAAACGTGAACTAATCATGATGACATCGTCGTCGACTATGGCTTCATCGCTGGAACGATCTCTCGAGCAGGGCGCTATGCATTCGGATGGGCTCAGCGATAAGGAGAGACGCGTACGAGCTGTAAAGAACACAATTCGCGGGCATCGGCGAACACAGTCGGTGAGTTCACCAATAACTCGTGCGAAGTGGGCGGGACAACCAGACATGATCCACGTGACGTGAATTGCTTCCAATAAGCCATCAAGTACTCGGGCAGAATTGAGGGGACTCATCGCAGATATTTTACCCGGAGTGACGACTAGACCTCGTTCCATCAAAACAAAAGAGTCGTCCAGACGACTCGTCCAAAAGCTCAGACTGCTGGACGAGTCGTCCAGACGAAGCTGTAGCTCATGTCCATTTGCTTCAATCAAGTTGATCCTTGCTTACACACCTTTTTACAGAATCCACAATCAGTCGTCATGTCGATCGTTGATGAAACCAGCTCAGAGACCGATTCAGATGATGCGGTCGATATTTAGTAGCATCCATATGTGCGGAGCACCGCCCATTATAGCCATATGCAAACTATCCCTCTTTTAACATCCCTAATCCGTTGTGACTTTTCTACCTAGCAAAGAAAAGTTCTTTTGATTTTTCACATGTATTTGTGAGTATTTGAAGTATATTACTGTAACTACTATAATCGACGTTCTATGAAAAATTTAGTACTTGATCCGTAATTGCGGACCAGCCGTCGATTTCCCAATATGCTGCTCACTCCTGCCCGAAATTATTATTAGATACAATTGATTCTGTAGTTGTAGATGTTATTTTCTAGGAAAAAAAGCTTCAGCTCAATAAAACGCACATCAAATCATCACCAACTCACATCTATTGTTTCGATAAGAGACGCAGAGTGAGCGTGAACAATCCTCCTTATCTCTGNNNNCAGGTTCCACGGTTCCACTGTGTACTATTCCATTTTAGCGTGTGCGTCTGTGTGTATGTGTGGTTTTGATTATAGTAAATTATCACCTCTGTGTATTCATTTCATATAGAAATCCACTTACATACCACTCACGTATAATCAATCCCTGTGCTTCTCTTGCGTGTATATGTCCACCGTTGTACTGTTCAAACTATACCATACTGTAAACATCTTCAAATGAATCATAGATTTTCAATTAGACCTATTCAGTAAACATTTCAAGAAATTTTTGTACATAAGACTACATATTGCACAGTTCGCAATCATTTCATGTACCTCAGTTGGGCCATTGGGTCACTGGCGGCGAGGAAGACGAGAAAGTATGCGAAAATTCCGGAATGTAAGGTCTCTGTAGGCTGGACATTTCCAAGATTGGACGAGTTGCGGACGATGAAAACTGTGGCCTTTCGGACTTCTCTAGTGTGCACCCTGGGGAACCCGTTCCTCATCTATGGTTTGATAGTAGCTGTTAAGCTTCCTGTCATCCAATACCCCTGAATTTCATGGGAAACATTGAGCGAGAGCTCGCATCTAAATCTAACAGACAGATTAGTTCTAGTTGGCAAGGGATTCCCTAGAGCCTGTGTTCGGAAGTTCCAAAAAGTGTGCCTGATCATGAGTCAGGAAGCGCCACCGAGGCAGCAGTAGTAGGTCGTGTCGCGTAGTCCTCAGGCGGTGTGACATGCATGGCGCTACAGATGCCGACACTTCATCAGCTAGCTATATGGCGATATTTTCCTTTGAGGAGAAACTTCTGCTTTCACTTGTACAACTATTTTTTATATTCAGACCTACAAAGGGAGAAAGGCGTGCGCCAACAGCACCGATAGAAAAAGAGGTTAAAAAGAAACGTTCTGTCGGAAAAGGGACCATCGCCCCTGTGGTGACCGGGTAAAATACCAGAGTTAGAGAACACTAGTACGTTTGTCAACGGTGATCGGTTTAGACTACCAAACCCAACTGCTAGCTCGGACCCGACTCAAAAATTCAGGAACTGACGGTCCTCTCAAAAGGTCTAACTCCCTTTCCCTGAAGGCCCATCTAGGTTAGCCCCTAGCAGTCTAGCCAGTGAAACTAAAGCATACAATAGTTCTTAAAGGCACAGTTCAGGACAATTTTGGGGGTATCCGGTATTTTAGAGATAGTGGTAGGTAAGGCCTACACTAGGACAATGGTAAAGCATGAAAGGCTAGAAACAGTGAAAAAAAGGAAAACAAACGGCCGAAAAAAAGAGGAAAAAGTGGTTGGACGAGATTTATAATGGGAAAACGGTGGTTAAGTGAATTTTCGCGGAAGTACATGAATGCGACGCCATGTGTGCAATGGCACACAAAACACCCAAACAGCTGTTTTAGACTAGATTCTTGAAACTATTTATTCCCCAACTGATATTTCGCTGAACTTTTATGTTTATTCAGCTGTTCTGCACAGAAAGGTGAGTAAATTCCCTTATATTTATAATTTTACGATTAAATGTACCTAAGTTTCCATATAGTACGTTGTTTTATAAAATGCATGCTAGGATTTCAATTTTTTTTATTTGCAACGCATTTTCTTCATTTGGGGTCATTTATGTGTTCNTTTTCCACCAACTTCGCTCCAATGCGAAAGTGGTGAAGGAAAATTCGAACGCGTAGTCAGCCTAGCGAGGGGCGGAGCCCTGACGTCCCCCAATGTTCCTGCCCTAATTGTGCCCTATTCTATTTTCTTCTATTTTCGACCTCATTCCTGCACAAATAGTATCAGAGGGGGCTTCGAATTCAAACTATATGCAAATCTCCGGAACCACCTTTTCCTGACCTGTGCCTTTAAGTGATATTTTTGAGAGCGATAACACATCACTCGACTATCTATTCTCTCCTCGCTAGCAGCAAATATTTATTCATCTATAAACCACGTATAAATATTACTCTGTAGCAAATCTGGCAGAAAGCGAAAGAAATCACAGACGGAAAGCGCAAAAATCGAATAGATCACGTCGGTTGGCGCTCATCCACCACATAGAAGGCCGGCGACGCTACGAGGCGAGCTGTGACAGTGTGGCGACACGGACCGGCGACGACATCGACTGTGAAGCGGCGCACGACGCATGCGACGGCGACAGATGCACCGGTGGATCCTCTCCCGCCACATAGTAATGGGTCACTCCATTCTCGCCTTCGATCGTTGAAATGCTGAAATTTACCTTGAGTTTAACTTTGGACAGAAGGTGACTACACCAAGCTCCCACCTTGTCGTCGTTTTCATGCCTTCTCTAGTCACACCCAAAACCGGTGCAGGACGTGTTGCTGCCGCTTGGGTAGCTGTGCGCAGCATATCACGGGATGAGCATCGCGTGGGGGTCGCTATAGCGGGCATGGTCGTACTTTTCGCCGTTGTCGACACTACGGCGGCTGGCAGTCTTCTCATGAGATGCGGGTTTTCGCAGTTGAACGACGTCATCTGCTCCTTCTGATGTTCAAAGCATTCCCGACAAAGGAAATTGTTTGATTGCAATGCCGGCTAAAATATACGAAATACGAGATACAACGAATACAAATTTTGTGAATACCGTACACCATAATGACAAACCTTGCCACAATACTGATTTATGCATGTAATCATCAATGATGACGCACTGAACGACCTGCTGATACGTTTTCGACCACTCGACGGCTGGAATACATGCATTTCATTGGCGACGGCTGTTAAAACATCACAAAAATCATCACAATTTCGACTAAAACCGTTAAACAAGCTTTTGTTAGGCAATTTAATTCTAATAATTATATATATTATTCTTATAATTTTTATTTTTTTATAGCTACTTCAAGCCCGAGTCAGCGCATAGGACTAATTTCGGCATACGCTGGGTGTCTTTCCTAAAAGTCATGAAGTATATATCAAGATATCAACCGTGCTCCCTTGTGAATGATGCAGCCCCAGCAAAGCCGTCAAAACTCGTCCACCTTTGGGTGTGTACGTCGACTTTTTATCCCTTATTGCGCCCTATCTAGGCCGTTCTGCGCGCGACTACGTCCCATGTGCCGAAGATTCGTCCCAGGGACAGATCTCAAAAGCCATGCTTATCGTGAACCGTGCCTTCAGCTTATCATCTTTTTTATGATAAACAATAATGAACGTAAGAGCACTGATTACTGAAAACTTACCGTAACCTGTTTTGAGCTCAGAAACCTTTCCCTAGCGCTACGCATATATTCGCGAACCATTTCTTCCATATATTCATGCGATGACGACACCAAACGGGCCGCAATCAAACAATTCGATCGCGATAGATCCGCTGCACACATCTGAATACACAAAACTCAGGCACTTTGGAGGAAAAAAAAGTAACCTGTTCCAAAAGGATTCACTCGTGCATCGATGCCATTCTCCTTGTTCTTGCTGTTCGACAAACGGAACGTGCGCAGAAATTGTTGCGTGATCTCATTGAAGATACGCTTCTTCTCTTGCGTACAACTCGATACACCTGAATATACTGTAGGTGGCTCCCACAGAAAAATATTTATCTCAGAGCGGCTCAAGTCAGTTTATTTTTCAAGTAAAGTGATTTGAGAACATTACTGCTTTCAAAGCCGCCCATGAGAAGATGAGCTCCCTCTCAATTCCCCGACACCCAGATTAATCAATGTGGCTCGTACTTCTGAAAATCAAGGACTAACCACTGCTAGCCAACGTCATGCTCTTATCCAAAGCAGATGTCGTCTGTGTGGTACGAATCGGTCGCGTTTTCTTCACGCTTCCCCGTCTTACGTCCATTTTCACCAGATCCATATATTCGCTCAGCAACGCAAGCTTATCGCCGTCGGTCATCGCCAGACGTTCGGCCATTGACGCATCTTCTTCGTCGCTCCACCTCAAATAACACGATTTTCATTATGCTGCCCCGATAACAATCAAAAGACAACATTCACTGAATCCTAGATCATGCACTCGTCTAAAAAGCGATACGATAGCAATAACTAAATAGTGAGTTTATTCTGAGCTAAAGAGTTCACTCTTACATTCTCTGGGATGATGAAGCACACGAAAACCTGATAAACAACGATCATTGGAACTAATCTAGTGAAATTCATCAAGCACGAAAACTTTCTAAAAATGCCAGTTAGCTCACCAACTGAAATCCGGGCCTGGGTCGATGACAAAGTGAACCGGCAGCAAGTTTCTATTGAAGTCGGTAATCGGGATAATCTCTGAAATTAAACTTTATATTCGAACAAGCAAAACAAACCCTAAACAATTCATGTGACAGGCACATTTAAATGAAATAACTCATGAGCCGTGACCTTTACTGGTCCCTATGAATTCTACCATAACTGTAGAGAATTTATGAAAAAACTCACGCATTTGCGATGAATCATGTCTCATAGGAACGAGTGGCGAAAAATGTGCCGAATCGTAGCACAACACTAGTGGAGACCTTCAAATGAACCATATTTCAAGGTTGGATTCCCAAAAAAAAAAACTAGGGAACCCACCTATGACACTGATCCGATGGGCACTCCAGGGGTAAGTAAATCCCTCCAAACGACACTGGTGACAACTCCTCACCTTTGGCATTTCGTAGTACCTAAACAATTCGAAATGTTCAGAAACGTATACACATTCATTAATTTACATAAGCATATCAACACTTTTTTATTCGACTCTTAGAATAAATATTCTACACTTACCGTATCCGAAACCACAATAATAGGTCTCTTGAGTACATGCGACAGTGCAAACACATGAATCGCTTCAAGACTTTCGTAAATTTGATCAGTTGAGTCGGAACTCGAGTCGTCCGTTCTTCTAGAAAACATTCAAATTAAAAAAAAAAGTCAGAAAACAAGAGTGCAGAATGAGAGGAAAGAAAGAACAATAAACTGCAGCATTTAAGACTTTGCATGAAATGCATGAAACTATTGAGAATTAAAATTTACTTTACGGTGCTTGAAAAATAAAATTTAATTACAAACCCTACTACAAACCTGGGTACCGGAGACGCCAATGCCACGATACCATTCCATTCTTGCATCCATTCCTCGTCTGACAGCGTTAGGCTAAGACCGCTCGCCTAAAAATCGATTGATCATGGAAACCACCGACAAAATTTCACTAACAAATAAGACTTTATTAGCACATTTTTTCCACAATTATAGCTATCGCCGTTGGACATCACTTTTCCGCGCACTGCTACCACTTCTATCTTAGGCACTAAGTCCAACGCATTAGTAAAATGATTAATCTTTCGCTTCCAACTATGCACTGAGCCCCAACTCATACAAACTCCTTGACCACGGCCTGCGGCTCCCGTAACTCTTTACGTTGTTATTTCAATACTACGGACCATGGTCCATGCAAACGGCAATTAAAAGCAGTCTCCAGGGAGATCTCCCCTGCAAATCCGCTCCAAAGCGCTTAACGCATTCAATCTCAGATTGGCTACACTACCGACCGAAATCATTTGTCCCACACCGAAGAAACACGTGGAGCTGGTGAAGTCTTGCCTTTTGTTTTGAAAGGATATGATTCAATTCAAACTAGGTTACCCATTCCTTTCGGGACAGCTATTTGAAGTAGGCCACCTAAGATGAGGGAAACATTAGCTTGAACATCGACCAGCTCATGGAATGGCTGAGAAGACCAAATCGCATGAATGGCCCTTCGACCAAAATGGAACTGCCAGCGCCAAAAAGCGCTCACTTGATGTTTAGGAGTTAGCTACTTCAACTCGCACCATTTTCGCCCCAGAGCTCCCAGGTATTCAATACACCCGGGGCAAAATCACTAATATCTATAGATGCGCCATGCATTCAACTACCATTTAGAATTGCGAAATGATTTGCTTATTCGAACCATTACAAATTTCAACTCCAATAAACATCCTACCTGATTTGCATGATGTTCTGCCCATTTCCAACGGCGCCATAGAGCACTGCGTCTTGAGCCACGTTTAAGCATTTCATAGAGTGCTTCACGAAGTGTTAGCTGTCGGTCATGCAGACCCCACATACCTTAAATTTCGTCTACTAGTTTTGAAACCCTTAAAAGTTGGAATTACTTCCATTTACCTAATGAGGCAGCATGTAGCAGGCAGTTACCATCACCAGTCGTTGAGAGAGGATAAAGCTTCTGGCCATATTGATGCCACCAGTTGAGATGTTCTGTAACATCAACAATTAGAATGTATGTTTTCCGAGGAAGAATACCTTAAACTCACTCGATGCTTCTAGTCTTCTTTGCGTTGGCGTTTCAATGAGGTCCTTCTCGAGGAAATTCCGAAAATCTGGTGCCAGCCTCTCTAAGTCCGGCAGACAGAACGCGTACCCAGGTGTCGGTAACTTTCGCGTGGCCCATTCGCCGAGTCCTGAGACTCTATCTGAAATTCGTACATCTACATATCCGTGATGGTACATTAAAAGGAATTAGGCTCAATTCATTGCGGGCCCACAAGCCCACAGAACCCAAGCAAAACCAAAACAGAGTGAATGGAAGGCTAGGGTCAGTTGTGCAAGGTAGTCTTGTAACAGGACCAGGAAAGTTTGATCACAAACCAGCTCTGGTCCATTATGCATTGAACTGACTGGTTGGTGACATCTATGATGACAGAGTTTCTCCTCTCCGGTAGAATGAACCAAACAATCCACCTCCCCGAATTGAGCCAAAAGCTTATTTAAGTTTAATTCAAAAAGTTCTGCTGGCCATTGCTGATTTTTCCCACCGACATTGGCACACCAAAAAAAAAACCAATTACGTCATCTCATATCTCATCCCATCTTGACCAAGTCCGGCCCGCTCACTGCAGGTAAAATATTTCCCTTTGTTTCTATTAATTTCCACTTTTGAATACTTCCAACCTCGATGGTCCCAAGGGACCATCGAGATTGGAAGGTTTTGTAGATTTCATTTTGAATTTTGCCATTAGATCTCTAATCCAACCTCTTTTCTTTGCAGACTGAACCCTCTAACTAATCCCAATAATTAACCAGAGTATCGAGTCTTTAAGCCCCTCTCATTTAGCGTTGAAAATGAACACTTAATTGGTGATCAATACTTAGAATTACAAAAAATCATACGGGTACGAGAACGAATTACTGCTCGCAATTTACCAAATAACCGGCAGTTCATTAACAGAACCTCAAAAGAGACTTTCTGACCACGAAGTCCTTAATGTTTTGAAAGAGCTTATCCCTCAAAGAGGATTTCAAAAGAGCTTATTCCTCAAAGAAGAATTATTGTAACAAGCTAATATGACGAAACGCTTTTCTACAAAAGGGTCGCTAAAGTAAGTCGATTGAAGGGAGATGTTCATTGGATAAGAGTTTTTCAACAGGAAATCATGAGATGGAGCAAATTATTAAAGCGGGAGCTCCACAAAACCACACTTAAGACATAGTTTTAAAAAAACGGAAGCAGTTTTCAAAAGGTAACCAACCGTGCGATGTCGACGGTGTCATCGACTCCATTTCCTCTCGTGCGCCTTCCAGTTCGAAATTTTTTAACGCCACTGCCAAATCCCAATCCCATTCTGAAACAATGGAAAAATAGGTTACGCCTCAATCGCCCAGTGGTCCAACCTTTCAAAATCCTTTTTATTCTTGTAATATCATACATGACCGCTACAGCATCGTCGGTTGCCAGAATTCTTTCAGCTCTACTACAGACCATTAGGCAATGAAGGGGTTCTTCAGCGAATCACATAAATTACCGAATCTAATCGTCGTAGGACGAGTAAATGGAATGCCTAGGCGGATGAATGACTCAATGGACGATGAGATGAGCAGCGGACTGAAATACCCCAGCCGATACCCATTCACTCCCACTTTCTATTTCGTCGACCATGAATATGATCCGATGGCGAAAACGAAAACTCAACGCACTGGAAAATTGTCGTCGCATTTTGATCGGATTATCGCTCGTATGCTACGTACGAGGGTATAACTTGTATATTAGCGAGTATCAATTTCACGATCACACCATTTCTGTCACGAAAACGGATCATATTTGCATAGGCACTACTCAGGGAACCATAGTCTACAAATACGACATCGGCTCAACCGAGGGAAGTACTGAGGGCAAATAAAATAGCCCCTCATTAACTCTCAAAACCAACTTCCCTATGATATACGCCATGCCTTTAAATTTCATCCAGGATCGTAGTAGCTTTTGACCTATACAATGACATGTTGACCTCTACTTAAAGCACAAACCAGCGGTTTCCAATAAAGCACAAAAAAAAANAAAAAAAAACGAGGGTGGATCCCTACTCAGCTCTTTTCGGAATGCCTGTTATCCCACGTCCTTTAAAAAGTGAAGAAGCGCTTTCCTTCATGTTTTGCACCCGACACTGATATGAAGATGTAAAGGATGTGCTCAGGAGCAGGACGAGTGAAATGACAGAAGGTGGAACCACATAGGTGTTTTCAATCCCAACAAAAATGTCTCCGCATACCTATCACCAGCATAGGAGTCCCATACGCAAATGAAAGGGACAAAGTGCAAACTTCGTAGACTAAGCAAACAAAAGGGTCAAGAAAATATGTAAAAAGAGCCCGCAAAGAAGCACGTTTTCATTAGCGACTACTAACTCGTACTCAGAATTCATGGAGACTCGATCTAGTTGCATTAACCAAAATTGTAGTAAAAAACCATTTTGCAATTCAAAACCATTTGATGAGTCTCTGAATGGTTCCTTCTTCACCCTCGCCCATTGCATGCGGATCCCCACTACCGATTTGTCATGTCAATATATTGCTATTGAAGTTTATATGTATATGTCGGTAGCACACTGACTTTGGTGGCTACTCTCTGTCTTCAGTACTCCTGCTTCCCGCACTTCCCACCTACTCACCGAAACCGAGCCTTCACCTTCTTAACCTGAGTGATTCGGGCTACATTTCACCATGGAAACTAAAATACACAACCACATCTTTTTCAAACCTTCGAAGGTTCTTGGATATGTCAGAAAAAGACTCGGTTCCTTCTCCTTTCTTTCTCCTTCAATTCGAACCAGGGACCACTACTTAAAATGATCCACTAAACCCCAAACGACACAGGTGAATAAGCTACTTAAAAAAAGTATTATGCTTTTCTTGGCTTGCCTCACCCGGGAAGGGATGATCATCGAAAGTTAGCCGCAACCACCTTTCCACTAAAAACCGAACTTTACATGCCCTCTCAAATTGACATTCGTCCACTTCTACAGCGCCCTAACCTTCCAAACTGGTTCTGAAAATGGAAACGACGCAGCGTAATTGATCACTGTTCGCAAAGTGAATTCCAGAACTCTGATGAATTAGTATCGCCCATATCTCGCCCTTTTCCGTCTAAAATGGAGTTTTCCGGGGTTTTCGTCGAATGGACATGCAATGCAATGCTTCGGTAGGAATCACGAATGAATCCCTCTTTCCAAAAATAGCGGCTGTACTGAGCGCATCGCACTTTGATGGCAGAGATTGGCGAGCTCAGGACACTCCTCATTAGATGGGTTGTCGCAATGCCCGTCAGGAGCTCAAAAAACGACAATGAATGCTCAGGCTTACCGAGCAAGAGCATCCACTGTTGCCAGACGAAAACACCTTCATTTCTTCCAAGCCCTTTCAGTGGCCTTGCAAAGCTTTAGTCTTGATTGGTGAATTTTCCATTTTAATTAGTGCCACATTAGAACACGAGCTTCTTCTGCTTGAAACCCTAACGCTCTCGGCTTCCTATTTTGGCTTGCTGTTTTTATGACTGCTATTTTTGGCCGCTGCAGACGTTGCGAAATTCTCAGCAGCGTAAAGGGTGACGAAGCGCCTCGCTCATTACCCTTTGCAAGTACAGGTTCGATACCTATCATGAACTAAGCGTTTTGCCCATAACTTTCGAGCGTCCCCTGCTCTTTGATCAAAGAGGCGAATGGAACTCGTCATGCTTCGTTCCACACCAGCATATAATTGGTCACAAAGGAATAGGGAACCTCTAAAAACCTTGCAAGAACATAGCCCTCATATGTCGGGAGCCGAGCGACTATTCAGAATACTTTCGGAAATACTTTTTTTTTTTTGACTATCAAAGCAAAAAGGCAACACCATCCGTGATTCCAAATTTGTAACTCAGGAATTACGCTGGAACTGAAACTCATGGCATGCCATTGAGCAGACATGATCACCAATCATTTTATCAGAGTTATTAGTAGGAATATACCACCCAATCCTTGAGAGCATGCAAAGCGGTTCCCTTTGATATGAACATACGTAACCAAACAGCGATACCACTCTCATTGCGGAGGAGATCTGTTCAATGATATTGATGGAATCTGCCCCCTGACAGGCCGACGGAACAGAACGTCTTATCAACACTGCCGCCGCCGCGTCATCACTTAAACATTCCACAGCGACCTTTCTCATTGCTGACACATCATCGTTCGACGCTGCTTGTTCGCTGGCTGTTTGTGCAAGTCATCGTCATCTTTCTCAGACAAATGTCAACTTTTCGAAGAGCGCGCATTCGCTCATCAGACGACAAAAGAATCACGAGCAATAATGACTAAAAGGAGCAATTACTTGTGCGGTCACCAACGAACACTCACACCATCCACCAAACTAACACGGGGTTTTTGGGGGCCATCGCTGACTCCAAAACATAAATCATAACGCGTTTCTGGGACGACCTTCGACAATTCGGAACCGATCATTTACGATCGCATGCTCCTTCAGCGACCCCAAAAAAGTTGACGCCAAAAGTTTCTGGGTGGACTCTGACACTGCGAGAATACCGTTGAACAGTTAGTAAAGATCAGCATCATGCTTAAAAGTAGATGAAGCTGTACTTATAAGAATGTGCCTGAGCGAAGGACACGGACTTCAGAGAAACTTATCAGAAGGAAGCTATTTGGACCGGTATCGTCATTGACAAAAAGGCCATCCATTTTTCTACCACTGCAACTTCTAAACAAAATGTAACTTTACTATATGACTGCCGATGGGAATCTTTAATTTTTTTTTTTGAAAAAAAAACAGGTCCTTAGAAAAACTAAAGTTTCAAAGGGTCCGCTGATTCAAGATGATGTTGATCAAATAATTAAATGCCTCAACCTCAATAAGAAAACGCGTGGAATGCCGAGATTTCCGAAATCTGTCGAAATTGCACGGATTATTCAAGACACAAGCTCTAAACGACCATGTGAGAGCCCAACCACACTATAGCGGCTTATACGGTAGTCCACGGGCAAATGTCCCGCTGAGAACAGAACTGCTCTATATGCAGTCTAGGTACAGGCCAAATGCCAGAACTACTCCGAACTGAATTGGGAAGCGTGAGATATACCGTAATTAATCAGATCGATTACCTTCTTACTTAATTCAGTATCAAAAAGTTGTAAAGCGTATAGAAGAATAAAACAAGAACTATCTCAAGCTAGAATGTAAGTATAGGA